TGACAAGAGTTAAATTCAAAACATGTAGCCATTTTCTTCTGTGTGGCTTTTTTTCTGATTGAAGGGAAACTATTTAGATGTTGGTTTCCAAAACGGCATCTGCCAGCAATCAAAGGGAAAAATTGTATAAAACAAATGCAATTGTTTGGAGTAACATTTCCTGGATCATGTTAAATGCTTGATTTGCTCCCCATTATGCTCACCAAATAATTTTATTTTCCACAATAATTGCAATATTTATTATGTATTTAAACTTGTTTTAATATTAACATCCTACTTACTAAAGCAGTAATTGATCTATGCTAGTAGACCCACCACTGCCATATTTATAAAAAATAGCAACATTAATTGCACTTCATTGTTTGGGGTTTAAAACCCTACCGTCCAATAATAATGATCATGTCTTTGCATAAAACTACTGTGCCGTCTGGGAGAAAATGGCTTCATGCTTCTGTCATTCATAAACTGAAATCTGTATACTTTTTAATGACTGTTTATTTGATGTGTTACTATTGAACATTTTAAAGAAAAGTATTTTGGGGGCCTACAAAGACCTAAGAGCTATTAAAGCAGTGTCTACCATAGGAATACAGGCAAACGTTATCATCTGATATATATAACCATATCAGGACACATATAGTGACAGAGTCAGGAATATTTGTCAGTATTTTTTAATGAAAAAACACAAAGCAAGTCTGGTTCTGTAGTAATATATTAGTAATAAGAAGGGTGGGTAGGTTGTTTGACTTGAGAGACATAGAAGGGAAGGCAGAATGAAATTGAATCTAACATTGGTTCAAAGGCTGACTTATTTAATCATTTTCCTTTATATTTTCATGATTATTTTGAGGGAGTTCTTCCACTAATCACTGAGGAGTAGCATTAACTAAGCTGAAGTAGCACAACACAATAAAAGTTTTGGCTGGCCAGTGCAGGGACAATTCCTGGCAGAGTGTCCATTTTCTTCCTGGACTATGGCTACAACTTAACACTTCCCATGCTAGCCAGACTTTTTCCTGTAAATAGAGTTGATACTGTACCTGCAGTCGGGACAGGTGAAGTTCATTGGAATGCTGTACAAAAGATATGTTTATATATTTTTAATTCTGTCCAAGCATATTGTTAAGTTTGGCATCAAGAAGAGGGAAAATAAATTGTCCTTGTTGTAATAGAGCAGTTGGAGGTTACCTTAAATCATTTGTCATCTCTCAAATCAGAAAATACTCAAGGTATAGTTCAAACTGAATGAAAGAAATTCTGTACTATAGTGAATAACTATTTTATAAACTATATAATCTGGAAGTGTATTTTGCTGTAGCCAGCTAGCTAAACAATCATTAGCATGCAAAATAATCTAAAAAATTATGTGCCTGCAAGTTCTCTCCTTTTGACCTAAACTAAAATGTATATCGTTTGATCTAGAGTGGAGGTTTTTAATAAATTTTCCCCTTGTATCTATTAGAGAAAAGACATATACGGCTGTCTTTGAATGACTTTATTACTCATAGTTCAATACAGGTATGAAATAGTACTGTCAATAGTCTGCAAGTTCACAAATTCACTCATAGATTGCAGTGCCCTATTATTAAGTGATAGTGGTTATGTACTGTACATGTGCCTCCAGGGATTATAAAATGATCTGATTTAAATGAAAACAATTTAGTGCCTATTTAAAATTCTAGCATCATAAAAGTGAAAGTTTATTTCTTGATTTCACAGTGCACAAAGATAATTTACTACCTGCATATTTCAATTCTGTGATTTTTATTTTATTTTTCAATTCAATGTTTAACTTGATCATTTCATAATTTTTTTGAAACTGTTATTTGATTATAGTCTTTTTTTATGTGAAAGTATTATTTCTTAGAGTAAAAGTTATGTTAATGAAAATACTGATGCGTAGAGAAGTTTTGCAGTAGAAAGAAAAAAAATACATGACTGTTATGGTTGTTACCAAACGATATTATAAAACAAGTTTAAAGAATGTAAAGGTAGAAAAACAGTATTGGAATTGTTTGATTAGCTCTTGGATAGACCTTTAGCCATCTGATCTTCATATGGAAAGTCATTCATTCAAACAGTGTTCTCTAGTATCTAAAAATAAGGAGCAATAGGGATGGAACCAAATACTTCCCTTTTAAAAAAAAATGAGAGTGTATTTGATTCCTTCGGAAAGCTTTATCAATCACTAGAAGGTAAATATACTTTGGCAGTCTATACATTTGTTTTGCTTTTTGTTATTAAAATGATTATGTCCATAACTATTAAAAAGATCAGCAAGAAAAAAGAAATTGAAAACATTCAGTAGGTTGTTCCTCCACTTCCCTCTCCCGGTCATGTTCATGGGAAAAGTAGCTGCGATAAACAGATACCGAATGAGACTGAAACTCTTTTTAAAAAAAAAAAAAAAAAAAAAAAAAAAAAAGCCAAAACATTGCATGATAGTCTCTAAGCAGTTCCATCTGTCAAGCAGAAATTTTAGGCTAATAGCCTGTGGCGATCTCCCTCCGCAGTCCACTACCTGCCTTTGTCCTATTAAATCTCTTTATTCTTCTTAAAAAGAAGAAGGGGAAAAAAGAAAAGGAGAACCTTGCAGACAAAAATTATAAGTGATGAAACCCTAATTTTAACCGCCTCTCTTTGATGTTGAGCAGTGGGTTCTTATTTAAAAAGGGGGGGGAGAAGGGAGAGGACAGTGCTGGGAGCAGATGACTTTTCATCTCTACTTCACCTTGCCACTGGGTCTGTGAGAGATTGGTTCATTGTCAAGGAGATTTTTTTTTACCCATGATTCCATATGGTATGGACCGGGCTACATGTTGCCCAACATGCCAGTGCAAATGTTTTCTCAATTAGGTGTCTTATCTCCCGTGAGTTAGCATCAGATGAAGCTTGCTGACAGCATAATGGCAGGGAAAACCTCCGACGGCTCCATCAAATGGCAGCTCTGCTACGACATCTCGGCCAGAACTTGGTGGATGGTGAGTTGGCAGCAGGGCTGCTTTTTTTTTTTTTTTTACTCCTTTTTCTGCTTTCCCTCCCTCTTTGACAAAATGTCCCAGACCTCACATTTATCAAATTAACATTTGATTTTTTTCACACTCTTCCGTAGAGCAGCCTCACTCTTGTCCCACTTCTGTGCTTTCCTCTCTGTAACAGGAGACTGTTAATGCGAACTACAGTTTCCACAGGGCAGCTTATTCAATTCTCTTTTTTAAAAGTATATAGAGAAATTGTTTGAAAAAGCCTTGTGCGGAGTAACTTGTCTCAGGCAGTTCCCTCAGGCTCTGAGCTTTGTATTACTTTTATCTGCTGCTTTTCAGATATGGCAGGTATGTGTATGTGTATTTTTGCCAGGCAATATTTTATGCAGAGGGGAGGGGTAAATTCAGTACATTATAGAACAACCTGGTTACAGTAGAAACTCTGGGATGGTACATTTGTGTCACCGTGTAAAATCATCACGTGTGAGAGAAGTGTGTTTTGCAAAGCGTTGGCTTTCATCAGAGACCCCAATCTAACTTTCCCCTCCGTTTGTTTACATTAGAACAGGTTACCATTCTGTTATGATCCCAAGCCATGTGTTATAGATCCCACATAATCTGGCTCGAGCTGCGTTTGGGCACAATTAAAGTTTTAATAAAGTTCCAGGGAGCTCCGCAGAACGAGTTAACTAGCATGTCATGGTCAGTCGGGCCAGACAACCTTTGACATCTTGAATCTATAAGAGGTATAGTGAGTTAGGAGGATGCACAATAGCCCATTGTAGCAGAAGATGCAAGTCCTGTTGTGATGAAGAGAGTCTTCAAATCATTACTGCCCTCGTTAGCGTGTTGTCCGTTAGGGATTAATTCGTTAGCAGTGCATTTTTAGTTTTCTGTAATTATTATTCTTGAGGCAAGCGTGAATTCTTCCAGTGAGAGAAAAAGTTCGCTGCCCGGACAATGAATGTATTATCCGTTCCTAACTGGACCGTGAACCTCAGCTCATTTCACATAGATATCAGTTAAAAAAGGACTGGCGAGTGGAATTACAAAACAAGGCATGATCAGTTTCATTGTAGGATACGCTGAAACAAGTAAGGGGGTTTCCCTCCCCCTCACCTCCCTGTACCACTTTTGGTCTCATTTGGAAAGTTTAAGACCTCTGAGGACTTGAAAGACTTTTAAAAGTGAGATACGGAAGGTTTTTATTCTGCTCCTTGGTGGTGGCCATTGTGTGTATCATGTGGCTTGTGTTTAAAGGTGTTCGGGCTTTTGGGGGGGTTGTTTTGTTTTTGTATTTATAGTGTTTTGTTTTAACTTTTAATTTCTTAACTATCCATTAGAGGTTTACCAGTGCCTGCCAGTGTTATATTACATGAAGCTTTTTGGTTAATTATAATAGTGGAAGACTAACCACTTTACTTATACTACTGATTTTCCAATTAGACTTTCTGCCAGGGAAAATGGGAGGGAGAGGAGGAGGAAAGAATGGAATATTTGCATGCTTAGAAACTGTTGACTATTCATTTGACTTTTTTTAGCTTTTAAACCCCCAGTAAATAACCCTATTGATTCTCAGCTATCAGTTTCGAAGCAAAGTTGTAAACTGCATATTTTAACTATACACTTGATGTCACACTGCTATTTAAGTTTATCCTAATTCACTTGTCTATTTTATTAGCACTCCTTTTTTATTGTTTATCACCTGCTTTTATGACTGGGGTGTTAATGTTTATTTTTTCATAAGTGTCTTCAAATTTAGTTATACAACTATTGTTTCTCTTTGGAAAGTATCCTGGAAAGTTGCTTTTCATTCATAATTATTTCACAGATGTTTTACTGCTGTGAATATAATATGTAAAAATGCTGGAAACATTTAGTAATGCACTTGACTAAAAATAAACAGCTTTACAACCACACATGCTGTTGTTTAGATTAAACATTGCAGAAAATTCTTCTTAAACTTGAACATGTCTCACTATTTATTTTCTAAATGAACAAACAAGAAACACTTACCCCCCAAAGAACACCATAAAACAGCCTGATAAAAAGAAGAAATTGGGCTATTTAAAAGAGGCTTTATTTTAACTGAAATTAATAATTCAAGAACATGTACAATAGATGTTAGTTACAAATAATTTTAAAATAAGACTTCAATTATTGATGGAAGCATAAGCAGTTTTGATATACCATCTGAGTCTATAATGTCTAGTATCATCAAAAGTATAGATGTATTATTTATTTTTACTCCAAAACCTCTTCAGAGTTGCGATAATTGTTTAATCAAAAATGAGATACAAAGCAGATTTTAAAGTTCTAAAGGAAAATAAAGCTTTTTAAAATTACCTCATGCATCTTCTCTCTGCACAAAAATCTCTGCTGCTTAGTGCTAAACTTCGGTTTGGTACTGCCAGCATACAAAGAGATGAGTGAATACCCCTTCCATCCATACACACTCAGCTGCCAGCACTGTGCTATGCAATTTTGGTTTTTAATGAATTGAAAACAATTTGTGTGTCAAATTAAATGAGTGAGTTTGTTTTCTTTCTGGAGCAGGTTCTGAACGAGATTTTAAGCCACGGTCATCTACTGTACTGAAGTATTATGACCAACTTTAAAGGTTCCGTGTCATTATGATGAAAAGACCTATTATAATGAAAGAAAATGCTTTATAAAAAGCTGGGTACAGGAATCTGTTTCTCAACCTCATGCTCTTTCACTCCAGTCTACATTATGTTTTTAGCTAGTTAGCTGGAGATAATGGAGATTGGTTGATTAGTAAAAATGAATAGATTTTATCGTTGGGTAAAGCAGTTTGCATTTTTAAAAAGAAATGGTGGCTTTATAATATGGAGATCGGACGCTGACATTATCATCTGTCATAAATAGGGCTATATTAACACATCTCTAATAAATGGACTTTTCTACACTGAAGCTAGTATGTCCTGTAGCCAGAAATGGAACAGATAATGAAATATATCTTATTTGTCACAGTAAAACAAATGCATAAAGTTTTTTTTCTAACCTGAGTTAATGCCTCAAAGTACTTTAAGCAAGGTTTATAACCAGGGCATATTTAAGATTAATTGCATTTGTCACTGCAGTTTAAGAAATCTTTTGAAATCCTATCTACTTCTCTCATGCTTTAATCATGCAAATCCAGAAATAGATATTAATGTAGCATTACTGTGTTGTGACATCTCTGGTTGAAAACGTTTGAAAGAAATTCTGTAAACTTTTGTGACACCACCCCCCTCCCCGTTTTTTTTCAAATCTCTTAAATGACGTGCAGTTTGCAAAATTATGTACATGAGCATATTGGAAAAATGATGATGGGACTTTTTATTTAAATATGATGCTGCCTGAAAGATACTGTACAATATCACTCAGACAAATGTTCCACTGTTTTGTAGTTTTGTGTTAGTAACAAATATATAATCCTGGATTTGTTTTATAAATGATGTGTTTTCAAAAATTCACGTATCCTAACTAGTGGGTATGGTATGATGTTGGTCTATTTAATGAGATAGCCAGTCACCTGTACAGTTCCTTTGTTTGTGTTTGTTAAACAAACATTTATGTAAATATATATGTGGGTAACATTCTCATTTATAATATGCAGTTACACTGTGTAAAGCTATTGCATCAAACTTGTTCTCGGTTGACATCAGCATAAATCTAATGTTACTGCATTGAAATGAATGGAGTGGCTCCAGATTTAGTTGCCTGTGGAACTGAGAGCAAAGTTTAACCCATTAGAATTCTAGTCAAAATTTGTTATAAAACACAAACCATTATCCTCTTCCAAACTTTTCTAGGAAGATGCCTCATTAATAAATGAAAAGCCATACTGTGACAGTTAAAATGGATCCTTCATCTCCATTAATATTCAAAAATTAATGATGCGGGGGTTTTATATACAACTGAGAATGAATATTTCAGTATCTCCTTTTATTTCTTTAGGTACTGCCATATTACCAATATAATCAAACAATTCATGCAATGAACATTCTGGAATCATCCTCAAAGTGGTTATTTTATAAATTTAAATGTTTTGAAAACATCAATTATTCGCTTTTCTGCACTTGATAAATATATTTCTCTCATGCCTGTATGCTCAGTTTTCTGTTCAAGTGATTAAAATTGTTCAGGTAATCTCTGCAACAGCTAAAGCATAAAAATGGTCAAAATTAGTAGCAATTAATAAATTAACAATGCGGAAAATCTTCAATGTGAAGTATTGCCACAGAGGGGAATGTAAACAATAACATATTCTAATGAGATGAAATAAAACATTTATTATCTGGAAACCCAATAATTCTTTAAAGATGAAAAAATGTCTGTCAGCATAACAGCCTATAACTGCTTGTTACACATGTTAAATGGGTTTTAACTACACTAACATGCTGTTGAGTTGTACTTGACTTTCCTCCTGCAGATAATTTACTAAATATCAATAGTTTTACATGTATTAATATTTTTCCTTAGCATGACATCATGAAAATAATAAAGCAAAAACAAAATAATATTGTAGTAAGGATTTTCCTTACACAGTTTTATGAAGTAATTGCTTTATAGTTATAACTTCCCTCATCAGCTGTGGAAGTATATTTAAAATACTATTTTTTAAAAGCCTGACCTTTTGTTTTTTTTCAAATCATTACCATGTAACTTATGCAATAGTAATTTGCTTATATGTACAGAGTGCACCATTATATATATATATATTTCTGCTATTCAAAAGTCTCTTGGTTTTTTTGTTGTTGTTATTTTTCCTGCTCCTTTTTTTAATGTATATGCATTTGTCCTGCTTTATTTTCTGTTCTCTTTTTTCCATCACCTGTCCTGAATATTGTCAGGAATGTTTCTAATTTAAAGCCAGAGGAGCTAGTGCCTGATTAGAAGACAGGAAATTGGAGGATTAAACTGTCTGGTTGAACTTCCTTTACTATCAGCACTCAGTAACTTACACTGGATCACAAACTCAACAGGACAATTTCTACAGTGTGTCTTAATTTTATTTTTCGTTAAAACGCTGCAAAATGGGGGAAAGAGGCAGTTACTGGCTGTAACTCAATGGTTCTTTGCAGCATAGACATCCAGTGGTCTTAAAACCTCATCAAGTCTACATAAGTATCGTCATCCTTAAATCAGAGAGTTCATTCAATTTCAGAATATCGATGTATGTAATATATATGTATTAAATGAACTTTAGTGTGTAAATAACCGAGCAGCAGATAATGAAATACTCCTGGTAGGAAAGAATGACGTTATTTTCGTAAGAGGAGAATGCATCACATTAACCCTTGTTCAACCCTTTCTCCCTCCAAAACATTCAAGATCACTGTACTGTAATGTAATGGTAGAGCCAGATGACATCCTAAAGGAGGGATAGTGAGAAAAGCCAATTTATCTGGAAGACTTAACTCTGATTCCTGGTAGTACCTACTGCACCAGAAATCTCAAGTGTGGTGATTTAGTTCATAGCTTGCCAGATGAGAACACTTCCCAGAGCCATTGATAACAGACAGGGATAGGGAGAAAGGGCATTTCTTTTTAACTTTATGGGCCAATCCATCGGCTACATTGACCTCAGTAGAATTACTGCAGGAATGATCATGGCCCGCTATTACCAAATATACTGTAATACATGAAAATAGTAAATAATAATGTGAGTGGGGGAAGCTCTCTCTTGTGCAGGATACCTAGCAGTATCTCCAAACTGTGGTGGACCTTGTGACTCTCTGTGATACCACTGTCCATCTCCCTTTCACGCTAAATACTATATAGACCCCACTTGCTGGTGAAAATGAGAGCACACTGGGGAGTGGGAGGAAATAGGCACTGGCTGGTAATAGTAGGTCTGCAACGTTGATTCTGCAGAGGCTGAATTACAAAGGCAATGGGTTTAAAATTGAGCATAAATCTCTGCTGGATTAGAACTTTAGACTAATAAACTAGAAAAAATTGCCAGAAATGTTGGGAAACTAGAGATGCTATGGCAGTGGGGTGTTTTAGCTGCTTCAAGGACATGTCAGGTGAGTCATCCAGCAAGACACCCAGACTGATACTGAGAATAGGTGAAAATGGGAGTGAAAAGAAGGAAGGGTGGATGGATCAATAGTTTCAATAAGACTTTGACAGAGTCTTGAACTCTCCAATGAAACAGAAGAGTCTATGCACTATCATTTTATTTGATAAAATAACTCAGGGATCTCTGAATTTTAATTCTAGCACTGAATGACACTTATTGTGGCCAATTGCAACTCATGTCACCTCTCTCTGTCAGGCTATGTTTACACAGCAGCGTTATTTTGGAATAACTAACGTTATTCCGAAATAACATAGTCCATGTCTACACAGAAAGCAGTTATTTTGACATAATGTTGAAATAATGTTGAGCTGGAGGACTTCTTACTCCAACTCCTGTAACCCTCATTTTATCCTGCAGTGTAGACAGAGCCAAAAGCCAAAATAAGCTATTTCGATATAAGCTATGCAATTGACATAGCTCAAATTGCGTAGCTTATTTCAGCTTTAGCCTGGCTGTGTAGATGTGCCCTCAGTGTCCTGATCTGTACTTATTTATTTTCCAGATGATATTTATTTATTTTTAAGATGTTGTGATGATTACATTTTTGCAACTCACTTTAAAGATGAATAGTACTAAATGTTCACATCCGCAAAAGGCCCATTAAGGCAGATAAAATATTTTAAGTGTGAATCAGTGTCTCAAACAGAGGAAAACATTAGTTCACTACTATCGTTGGCCAAAATCTTTACTAAGGCAAGACTCTCATTCACTTTACTGTGAGTTTTGGCTAAGCAAGGACTGTGGGGTTTGCACCTATGAGGAATTGCAAAACTCACTTGAAAATTTAAGCTCTTCTCATGGGCAAATGCATGCACAAGTACAGAAGCCCTGATCCTGCTTCCACTGAAATCAATTACAGTACTCCCTTTGATCTCATTGGTGAAGAATCAGTCCTACATAATAAATATGTCAGGCCAACCAGATTCAGACCCCATAATGCCAGGCACTGTACAACTGTCCCAAAGTGTTTTGAATTAAAACTTTCCATAATAAAAATCATGAAATCTGATTTCTATATACTAGATTATTGAAAAGTAGTTGAGTGATATAAGAATTCACAGAAGAGCTAAAAACAGATATATTGGTTAATGGAGTGGAATTCAAACCATTTGCTACATGTAAACATATATTTTTTAGAGGGCTGCCAATCATAAACTTAACAATACAGCTAGAGATTTGTTGGAGTGTGGTATTGTACAGATGCTACTTGTTTTACAGACTTTTACTACCTATAATTACAATGTCCTTGTTTTCAAAAGGAAAACATGCTGCCCTTGATCCCCACGATCAGATCGTATTAATTTCATACCTCAAGTGGAATTGCGCACCTGGATTAAGGCTGCCAGTTGGAGCTAGGTAGAAATTGAAAGGTGTATGGTGCCTCAATGACTATATCTGCAACAGGACTACCCAAAAGTATATTAGGGCATAATTTGCCATTGATCAATGAACATTTCTTAATTAAATCAATGGGAGTTTGGTTCAGAAAGACTTATGGTAAGATTCAGTGTGTGGTAAAGTGATACATAGAGATTATTTTGCTCAGAATGAGATGGAGAAAATGGGCCAAATTCTGCAGTCAGTTGAAATGAATTCAGAGGAACTCTGCCTTATTAAATGTGTAACATGGTCTAAAATGTATGTGTAAAGCACATATGAAGAAGAGGTCCTATACGTTCATATGCAACAACAAAAAATGTTTCAGTAAAATACAGATTTGTTTCAAGAATCGAGCTGGTTAATAATAATGCCATTTTCACAATTATTTTCTCATTCTTTAATGTTGATTCTATATTACTAAAAAGCACTGAATTAAAAAGAGAATATTTTCTGTGAATATTCTGCTTCAATATACTTTTGAAATATTTGCTTTAATTAGGGAACTCCAGGGCTGCTGGACCATGGAGGGTATGAGGCCACGGTAC